ATATAAGGCTCGTATAAGGGTAATGGGCCTATATGAGGTTTATATAGGCCCCTTATAAGGGTAACTGCCCACCTGGAACTGTCCTTGATTATACGGGTGGTTGTCAAAATTATGGTCCCTTTTTGGGTACCCTAAATATTATGTGCCGTATTATAATAGGGATCCACAAAGGGACCATAATTTTGACAACCACCCACATATTCGCTATATAACCCTAGACCCCGAAGCTCTTCGGCTTGAAGGCTACTGCGTCATTCAGCTTCCAATAAGTCTGGTCCTTAGAGTCGGCGTGCCTGGTTTGCCTTTGTGACTGTCGAGATTCATGTGGCGATATTATCCCAATTTAGGGATTATCATGAGACTATGTAGAGTATTGTGTCTAGGGTTTAGGGGGAGATTACTCCAAGAATCGAGAATCAAATGGAAAAGAAAATGGAGCATAGAATGGAAACTGGGACTGTATAGTGGTTTATAGGGATCAGGGTTTGTTTTTCAAAATTCGAAGTTCTTTTCTGGGAGTTCCGAGAGTAAGGGTTATAGTATAGGAGATTGGGGTGTTTATTTGCTTCCGTTCTAGCGTCAAGGTAGCCCCTTGTCATCAAGATTTAGGGTTTAGGGTTTATAGGGTTAAGGGTTTAGGGTTCAGGGTTTGCAGGGTTTACAGGGTTTAGGGTTTTGGATTTAGGGTTTATAGGGTTTAGGGTTTAGGGTTTTTAGGGTTTAGGGTTTATAGGGTGTAGGGTGTATAGGGTTTAGGGTTTATAGGGTTTAGGGTTTATAGGGTTTAGGGTTTATAGAGTTTAGAGTTCAGGGTTTCAAGGACTCATAGGCTTGGAGAAGCCTCAGTAGTCTTTGGACGAGTGTCGGCTTGTTTCTCGAAGTTTCATAGGTATTTACGAGGGTAGCTGCAGATGCAGCACGATATAGGAGACTTGGAACCCTACTTGTAATTACCTGCAATCCTTAACGCTAAACCTAAAACCCTAAACCCTAAACCCTAAACCGCAATTCCCCAGGTGAAGAGACTGCCGAAGAAGCCCAAGTAGAAGTGACCTGTGGAAGGCTGGATGACGGCTGCGGGTTTAGGGTGTAGGGTTTAGGGTTTGCACCGGTCTCCCTTACTGCATGCCAAGCACGCCAATGTTAGGGTTACAACGATTGGGTCCCCTTAAAAGGGGTTTATAGGGGTATATTATAAGGATCAAATGGACTAGAACATAGACAAATAGTGGAAGTTGGGTTTATATAGTGGTTTACACCATGTCTGAAGATGTGGTGATCTCTTATGATCCTTCCCATGGGCGCCCTCAAAAGGTACCCCTAGTTTTGGGAAGCCCCCATGTCGGATCCCGAAAAGAACCTTTCAAACATGTAGAGGCTGCTGGGAGATTCCTTCCAAGCTCATCTAGAGATTTACAAAAATCGGGGTTTACTTTTTGGGGTCCTATACAGAGGGTCATGGGATGAAGGGGGGTCCCCCTATTGGTGGCAAGCCCCATGCAACTCCTAGGAAGGATTCAGAATTCCCCTGTAATATTTTTGGGGGGTCCGGGTCCCTCGACCCTCAGGGGATGTTCTCCCCTAAGCCCTAAACCCTAAACCCTAAACCCTAAGCCTAAACCCTTAAACTCCTCAGGTACAGATGGAAGCGACTCCGCCGAGAATTCGAGCCTTCTTACCTCGGCAGACATCAGTGCCATGGCTGGGATCAGAGCATTGCGGTTTCCAACTGCAACAGGGCCTAAACCCTAAACCCTAAATCCTAAACCCTTTAGGGGGATTGTCAAGATTTTGTTCCGTCCCCGTAGTAAGGGTCGTATTACTTGGGGGTATTGATTGGGGAAACCCCCCCATGTCTGGAAACGTCCACGTAGTTGCGAAGACACGTGCGTCTTCCCAGTGCCGGTTGAAGTTGTCCTGTCCCGCGTTGGCACAGTCCAGGAAATGCAAGACGGCCTGGCTAGAGGAAATGGTGGAAGAAAAGCAGGAGATGGAGCTGCACTCAGCATCTTACTAGTATAATTACCTCTTATTCATGTGACCATTATTCTTACCAGTACGACTGTTATTCTTGACTCAGACTTGCAGTCTGCCATGCCTTACCGAGGATAGTCCCATTGACCTCCTCGACCTGTACTTGGCTCGCTTCACCCAGTTCCTCTTGCCCGTGGCCCCCTTTGCCCTGGACTTCGTCCCGCATAGCCGAACAAGCGGCATGCTCCGAGTTCCAGCCTCCTCCGAGGGTGCAGGCGTAGCTGAGAATGTCAGCGAGGAAGACATTGCAAAGGGCCTTGTCGACGAGCATGTGGACTTCTTGAAGCGCCGGAAGCTGTGCATGTTTCTCATGGCTGCTGGCACTGGAGGTGAGCTGTCGCTCTATCCGAAGGATGGTGCACAGATAGTCCTTGCAGCACAAGCTGGTCGGATGGTAGTGTTCCGTCATGACCGAATCAGCTATGCTTATAGGCCAGACTCGGAAGATGACCTTGTCCTGCAAGCTTGGACGTTGACTGCACCACCCCAGTTCCAATTCGGATCCGTGGATGGTGATCAGAAGTCCAAGGACGAGCTCTATGGCCTGGTTGCTGGACCAAACACTCCTGAAGGTCGCCGAATTTGCGTCTACGGTGTGGGCCTCTCCCTACCCGGTGCGGCCTTCGAAAAGCTGGAGTCCTACTGGTGTACGGTGGCCTCTGGGACGGATGGCTATATCTATGCTCCCATTGAAAGGTTTGACATTGAGCCGTACACCAGAACTGGCGATGCGTGGCAGCCAGGATTCACATACACAGTGCATGGAGGCTTTTGCAAAGACATCTTCTCCTTTGACAACGACTTCTTCAACGTTTCTGAGGAGGAAGCTTACCTGTTAGCTCCTGCGGCAAGACAGCTGCTGGAACGCAGCTACGAGGCTTTGTTTACATCAGGTATGCGGAAGAAAGATGTCAGAGGCAGGCGTGTGGGAGTCTACATCGGGCACAGCGGCGATGACTGGAGTGGAGATCCGAGGTTCACAATGGGACCCTGCGACTGTCATCGCTATGGATACCAGGCCCGGAAGTGGGCAAATCTTGCGGGCCGAATCTGCTACACCTTGGGCCTGTCGGGTCCACAGGCCTTGCTAGACACAGCATGCTCCTCCGCCTTGGTTGCTTATGGTGTTGGGCATACTGCCTTGCGGCAAGTCACAGCAGATCAGGCTGCAGCAGGCCAGAACTCCGGAATCACCGAGGCCTTGATGGCAGGTGCGAACCTGATTCCGGGCCCTGGGAACTTCATCAACCTCTGTGGCCCCCACATGCTGTCCATAAATGGCCGGTGCTTCACGTTTGACATGTCTGCAGATGGTTTTGAACGAGGGGAAGGCTCCTCCTGCTTCTTTGCTCGAAGCGAGGAGAAAGTCACCCGTGAAGCAATCGCCACCGTGATCGGTGCCTGCCTGAACCAAGATGGCAGAAGTGCGAGCATGACTGCGCCAAACGGACCCTCTCAGCAAGAATGTGTGCGTGGATCCATGAAGGAGGCTGGTCTGACAGCCAACCAGATCACTTGCTCTGAGCTTCATGGAACTGGCACAGCACTGGGAGATCCAATCGAAGTCGGTGCTCTGAGGGGAGTCATGCAGGACAGGAAGGCTCCGATCATGCAGACGAGTGCAAAGAGCCACATTGGGCACCTGGAGGCCAATGCTGGACAGGCTGGCATCATCAAGTGCATTCTGATGTGCAACTCCTGTGCCGGGACACCGAACTGTCACTTGTACATACTGAACCCGCACTTGGACGTCAATGGTTACCCAACCATCTTCAACTCAGAGCTCACAGAGTATGGAAACCAGTCCGGGTACTCCGGGGTGTCCTCATTTGGCTTCGGTGGAGCGAATGCTCGTGCTGACGTTTATGCTGTGGCCAGCAGAGGTCCCAGGAAGCCAGGCAAAGTGAGCCTAGAGAAAGTGGACTACGTAGTGGTCAGCTGCCCATTTGATGAGGGTCCCATGCACTATGTCGATGGAAAAGAAGTCCCAACATCCGGTTCCAGGATCGTCAGGAACAGAGGCAGATATCGCTGCGACAACATTCGGGACGAGTTCGACCAGTATGACTACAACAGCAGCCTCTATGACGGCAAGTTTCAGATGAACCCCGCAGAGGAGATGTCGGGGGACAAGCCGGACACAGGCATCGGCATCATGGGCTCCTGGGATGGATTTAAGCAGGTGGCTGAGATGACACCCGGCTCAGATGGCGATAGCTGGAGTTGTATGGTGGTTTTAGGAGAGACGCGCTATGAGAAGTTTCAGCTATGCCTTCTTCAGAACCCTGAGCTAGCCATCTATCCCTATGTCAACAATGGTTCCATGAACACTCGGGTTGTTGGACCTCATGGTGAGGGCAAGGGGCGTTACTGGATCATTGACGGGCGCGACGAGGAGATTCCTGCTGGCACTCCATTTCGCATCACGCTGGAGTGGGGCCTGAGGCTCCGTGTGACCTGGCAGCGTGCCGATGCTATGCTCAGCAGCGGCGGCATCCCCATTCCCAAGCTCATTGGCTCCAAAGCGCGGCACAGGTACTTCGTGGTAGGCTCCTGGACGTCTGGGAATTTCCTCGAGATGCAGAGCATGCAGAGCCCAGGGCTTTTCGAAACAACGGTTCGCATTGGCATGTCCCGCTCCGAATCCTTCTACTTCGTTCGTGATCAGGACCAAGAACAGGTGATCTATCCCGCCAAGCCTGCATTGGATGGTGGAGCCACTGAGATCCCAGTGAGAGGGCCTGATGCACTTGGCAACGGCAAGAGTTGGAGGATCACAGGGAAATACGGCGAATCTGTGCGGATTCGGCTCGAGATTGTGGACGCCCTTGTGAAGGTGAGCGTTGCCAGCATGATAAGACCCGACTCCGGATGGATTGCCAGTGGGATCACTGGTCCTGCGCGTCGGATGCCCAGTGTCTGTTCTTTAGAGAAAGTAGTGGGTGGAGGCATGGAGCTTTTTGCGTTTATTGCATGGCATGTTGCTTGAGGCCACAGCTACTGGGTGTTGGGCAGCTTCAACAATTGGACTCCAGAACAGATGCTTCCTGGAGAAAGGCCGGCCACGTCAACGTCCATTGGGCTTAGGGAATCTTAAGAAACCTCCCCACAGGCGTTGTTGCTGTTGCCTCTGTGTCATTTCATAAGTGGGTTCAGTTACTCTATCCCTAAAGTGAGGACGCTATGATAGTCATATGAAAAGTATGGGGTTCTTATTATAGGGCTTGAGGAAACTAAACTCCCCTTATTCTTCTAGCAGAAAAGATCCAGCCATCAATGCCCCTGACTGCAGGGGGACATTTGTATTGCAGGGAGTGGTGCAGGCCTCAGGACTTTCTGAAGACTAGATGCCCTTGATAAGCCCAGAATTCCCGTATATAATACGCCATAATTCTCCATGCAATCCTAGGGGATCGGATTTTTCATCCCGTCGGGGTTCTTCGTGTTGATGAGCCATCAGCACGAGTTTGAGGGATGTGTAAGAACCACAGATTCGCTTTGTGTTTAGGGTGCTTGTGTGTCTGTTTGGATTCCATTCAGAGACATTCTCAACAAGAATTGCAGCATGTTGTAGTGGTCATCTGTCAAGAAGCATGCGGACGACTAGAACTATTGCGAAGAAGCTTCGTACAAACAGCATGTCCCCGACAAGCCCGATGTCCCTCGATTAAGGGTCATTTAGCAAAGCATATGGGGGATCCTCGCATCATCTATGATTTGTTCTTTACAAGAATATATTGGGCTCTCCGGGTCCACATGGCAGGCATGCCCTGTGTTCCCCTGGCCTGGCTACTGAGGCCGACTGTTCCAGGCAGCGAGACCAGCGCTTCACCATCATGGTAGATGAAGATCCAGACATGGTCGTGTTGCTGGGCTAAACCCTAAACCCTAAACCTAAGGATAGAAGGGAGATTCTAGGGATACCTGAGGGTACGTATAGAGTATGTAGCAGGTACATTAATAAGGATCCCGGCGTTAAGGGCAGATACTAACTAGGGGCCCATGGTTTCAACTATATACCATGATGTACCATAATCTATAATATTATACTTTGAGTCATCCCCCTTACAGTAACTGTTACCACGATGGGTTCTAGGATTCTAGGAGTTACAAGAACCCCCTTAATAAGGCCCCTTTAAGGACAGTTACTGGGAGGGGGAATGACCCAAAATATACCATAATATACTACCATAATCTACTATAATCTACGGGTACCGTAGCAACCACGAGAGGCCAGGTATTTGGAGGAGTTCTCCTCGGGGTGTTTTTTTCCAGGGTGGATCCTGAGGGTGTCTGGGCGGTCCAGGGCCTCCTCTGCGAGCGAATTTCGGGACCAGGGGGCCTGAGAGCCGGAGGGGGGGGTCAGCAGCTCCAAATTTCTCTCCAAGCTTCTCCCACAACACCTCTGCCAGGGGCCTCTCGGGCCTCCAGACCTCCCACGGGCCTGCCAGGGGATTCCCGCACATCTTCAGGGCCAGCACCTCCCACCCGGCAGCTAGAAACCTTTCAGCCTTTGGGCAGCCAGGAGCTCAGGCGCTGCCTCTCACGCACCAGCACCAGAAGGTTGCTAGGCCTCCTCCAGACCTCTTTAGCCTGCCAGAACCTCCAGCGTACAAAAATGAAGAGGTGTTGTTGTGGACCAAGACGGACCTAATTGAGTTTAGGTCCTAAACCCTAAAAGGAATAGGCTTGGGTGGTTTGGCCGCCTCAGACGGCGTGGGGTGGGTGATTGTGTTAGATGGCCTTCTACATTCAGGCCATGGCAGCACCTCGCATGCTGCCATGCACTTGAAGGATCATTGACACCTGATCATCACATCCTG